TTTCTCTCTCTCTCTCTCTCTCTCTCTCTCTCTCTCTCTCTCTCTCTCTCTCTCTCTCTCTCTCTCTCCCTTTCTTTCTTAATTACACCTACAAGGCCATTTGCTGCTGTTTTCTGCTTGGGTCAGAAATCACCCACTTTAAAGAAATTCTTCTTTCATATATCACTTCCTAACCACAGTTTACCCTCCCTTCCCTGTATCCTCCAGTCTCTACCTCCACCTCCCCTCTCCTCTAGACTCACATCTGCCTCCTTTCAGAAAAGAGCAGGCTTCCCAGGGACAAAACCAAATGGCATTAAAGTAAGACCGTGCACATCACATCAAGGCAACCCAGTAGGAGGAAAAGAGTCCCACAAGAAGGCAAAAGGGTCAGAGACTGTCCCCACTCCTGTTAGGAGTCCCACAAGAACACCAAGCTACTCAGCTCTAACATATGTGCAAAGCACCTATGCCACAGTCCACAGACCCAAAGAGGCTAAGTAACAAGGAGGGCTTAAGGTGGGGGACACAAGGGTTTCCCTGGAAAGGGGAAATAGAACAAATTTCATGGGTGGGCTGGGGGTGGATGAGGCTGGGAACAGGAGAGATTAGATGGGGCAGAGAGGAGAAGAGAAAATACTGGGAGAAGTGACTGGAATTGGGGGGCATTTCAGGGTAGTGATAGAAACCTAGGGCAATGGAAACTCCCTGGAATCTGTGAGAGTGACCCTAGCAACAACTTCTAGTAATGGGAACACAGAGCCTGAAACAGCCATCTTCTGTAACCAGGCAAGACCTCAAATGGAGGGATTGTGACACCCAACCCAGCCACAAAATTTTGACCTATAGTTTGTCCTGCCTGCAGAGTGTTCTGCGACCAGAGTCTAACAGCATGGTCATCAAAGAGACCAGAGAGACTTCATCCAGCAACTGATGCAAGGAGATACAGAGTCCCGCAGCAGACAGACATTAGGCTGAACTAGGGGAGTCCTGTAGAGGAGGGGGAGGAAGGATTGGAGGAACCAGGTATGTTGGGGACACCATGAGAACATGGCCCACAGAATCAACTGACCAGGACTCATGGGGGCTCACAGAGATGAGGGAATCCTGTAGGGAAAATCACCCACTTTTACCTTTCTTCCTTGCTTAGTAAAAAACCTCTCTGTGAACACAGGTGTTTGGGTGTGGTTTGTGCCTAATCAGAGGTCTGAGAGGGAGTCTCGGTTGTGTTTAAGACCGAAACACATATGCACATGAGTAACAATCAGTAGGGTGTGTGTGTGTGTGTGTGTGTGTGTGTGTGTGTGTGTGTGTGTGTATTCAACAATCATTTAAAAAGAAGAGACATGAATTTGAGAGGGAGTGTGAGGGGACAGGAGGAACTGGAAGGTGGAGAGGGAGGGATGGAATGACACAAATATATTACTCACATATGAAATCCTCAAAAAATAATGCAAATAAAAAAATCTCCCAGCTAAATCCATCTTGATTCAGAAGGATGCACTGCTGAATTCCATCAGACCTTTAAAGAACGACCATGTGTTTCTCAAACTATTCCATAGAAAAAGTGAGAAACATTGCCAGCCCCCTTTTTGTTTTGATTTTTAAAATGTCTTATGAATTCTTTGGAAATTTCATATAATGTATTTTGTTCATATACACCCACTCCCCCCTCAACTCCTCCATAATTCATCCCTACTTCATTACATACCTAACTTTGTATACTCATTAAAAGAAAAATAACTATAGAATCCAATTTGTCCTGCCCATATACTCTTGGGTGTGTGGCCATGCACCGGAGCCTAGTCAACCAAACTCTTAACGAAGACATTGTTACCCTGACACCAAAACCATGCTAAGAAACAACAAAAGCAAGCAAACAAACAAACAAAAAGAAAAAGAAAAAGAAAACTACAGACAAACCTCTTGGATGAACTTAGATGCAAAATTTCTCAATAAAATATTTATAAATTCAATTCAAGAACATATAAAAAAGATATATACTTTGGTCAAGTTGATGTCATTCTGGAGGTGCAGGGTTCAACTTGCACACATCCATAAATGTAGTATGTCACATAAATGGACCCAGGGGCAGAAATCATATGATCATTCCAAAAGAAGCAGAAAACACATTTGACAAAACCCAACATCTATTTCTCAATGATAAAAGCCTTGCGAAGACAAGGAGTACACACACACACACACACACACACACACACACACACACACACCCTTACTTTAAAAGCCACAGAAATACAAGAAGCTACAGATAAGTGCACAACCAAACAGAAGGTTTTAGTGCATTTTTTATAGTAATTGTGAGAACAGGTAAAAAGTATGTTGGTTAGAAAGATGCAGTAAATTACAGCAGACACAAAGAAAACATGTAGCAGACAGACTACACATTCTTTTCAAGCATACATAGAACATTGAAAAAGACAATCATAGGGCTAGAGGGTGGCTAAGTGGTTGAGAGCACTGACTGCTCTTCCAAAGGACTGGAGCTCAATTCCCAGCAACCCACATGGTGGCTCATAACCATTTGTAATTCCAGTCCCAGGGGATCTTCTGCCTTCTTCTGGCCCTTGTGGGAACTGCATGTACCTAGTATACAGACATAGATATAGGCAAAATACTCCTACACATAAAAGTAATAAATAAACAAAATACCCAAAAAGCTAATCATATTTGGACAATAAAGAAAACCCTGCAAGTTTCAAATCATACTGATAATCTTCTCTGACCATAATATCAATAACAAAAACCATCATGATTGGTCAGTCCAGTGGCTCAGGGGGTTAAAGCACTTGCTATGTAAGCCTAATGACCTGAGATTGAGCACTGCATGTGTGAACACACACACACACACACACACACACACACACACACACACACACACACACACACAATCCATCACATTCCATAGATGCAGACTTCAACTTTTACAAATCAATAAATGTAGTACATTACACAAATGGACGGAAGTCATAGGATCATCTATGCAGAAAAGCCTTGTGACAAAATCCAACATCCTTCATGTTAAAAGCCATGAAAAGACCAGGAGTAGAAAGAACACACCTCAACACACAAGAAAGGGTATAAATGACAAGCCAACAGCCAATTTACAAAATAATCCATGGGTCAGAAAAACAAATCTGTATAGTAAAGATGTCTATTTAAAAAAGAACAAAAATAAATCTGAATGAAAATCATTAATTATTTTTGATTATAAGATAGCAACAATACTATTTACCAAAACTCATGGGATGTAGAGAAGATAGCAATGAGAAAATCACTAACATAATTATAATAACTTAAGCACTTACAATAGGATAAGAGTTAATGAATTAAGGAACTATCTCAGGACCATAGAACACAAACAGTAATATACCCAATGCAGAGGAAGGAAAACCATAGAGACAGGACCTGTTAAACTTCAGCCTGGACTACATGGCATAGGGATTTGTAGGTGTATGTAGTCATTCTGTTCCAGAGACAGATAAGCCAATGGGACAGAACAGAGTTCAGAATCAGAACCCTCCATAGTCAAGGGCTGTATGTATACCAAAATCATCCCAGTAATGTCACAGAGTAAACAAATCCTTCCCACCACTCAGACATAATGCAGTTGCAAGGGAAACCTCCAAAAGGGTTCCCTCTTTTCACTGCCTTTGTCTGTGACTCCTCTCAGCCCTGTCTGAACAGTGTCCACTGGAGTCTGAAGTCTCCACCTCACTGAATACTTTTGTATCTGGCCCCCCAAAGATCATTCCTTTGGGGATTTCCTCTGCCATTGGTGACTTACTCTTTTAGAGAAAGGAACTGTGCAATTCATATGTGGAATGAAGTGTTCAAAGACAGTCTTGAAGAGAGGGTGGTAGTTTAGAAGACTCTGAGAAGGTGGTGCAGAGAGGGCAGGGGCATGCAGAGCTGGGCCCTCCTCAGCTCAGCCATTTAGCAGGTTAGGGAGGCACAGGTGGATGCCTGGCCTCTCAGGGCTTCTTTCCTTTTATCTTTGGATCTGGTGTGCATCTGAAGTGAGAGCTAATTTACTTCGTACATACATGAAGTGCTGCATAAGCCTCTAACATGCCACGGGTGCTGCTACCAAAAGCACAGCCACTACTGTGCCTACCCCAGCCCAGATGGCCTCCGCTTTGGCTGTCAGGAGAGCTGGCAAAGCGTCCAGTTTCTTCAGAGGGCACAGTGGAAGTCTAAGCTTGCAATCATTAGGAAGAGAGTAGAGAGCAGATAATACACCCTGTCTGCAGCCATCCCATACTGCAGTACACCAATTCAAGGAGAATGGTTCAGAGTGGAAAATGAGGGACCTAGGAAAATTCCTTTGATCCTAATATATCCAGTATGGTTTAATATCTCACTGTGAGTTTTAGCTCAGCAGAATAGTTATCTACAAATAAGAACACGTCCTATGTAGCAGGCAGACCTCTAAGGTAGCCCTAAGAGCTCCACCCCAGGGGCACCCGGTAAAACTATTTCCCCTTGAAGGTAGATGGGGCCTCATGCTATTCTACATGATTAGGCTACAATCCAAGGCCAAGTGAGGAGGCTTGGGGGAAAGTCAGTTCTTGATTCTGGGTTGATTGAAGTGTTGTTTTGGATTATCTTGATCTAACTGTGTGAATTCCTTAAGGAGGTCTTAATGGTCAGATAAAGCCAAAGTGAGGGGAATTTGGAGCAAGACGGTAATGGGAGGGGAGACAGGAGGGAGTCTCTGGCTGGCCCTGCACAGTAAGCAGTGAGTATGTATATCTGTGTCTATGTGCATATCTATCTATCTGTCTGTCTGTCTGTCTGTCTGTCTGTCTGTCTGTCTGTCTATCTATCTATCTATGTAGTTTGAAAAGGGCCAGATGGCAAAGACCAGCACAGGACAGTCTTCCAGGTGGCTTTTGACAAAACCAGTGCTGTTGTCACTGGAACCCCATAGGTCTCTGAGCTGCTGCTGCATTCAACTCACTAAGCTTGCTTCTTTAAGAGCCCACATCAACTTGTTCCTTCTTGGTGAAGATTGAAGCATTGCTTCAATGGCCTTGTATGAATAGTCATTTGGGCCCGTTAGGTTGGCAGTTTCTGCAGGTGATTGTAGGTTACCACCAATTCCCTAGGTTGCTTTGTGTGTGGCTCAGTCAATGGTGCTGAGGCAAGGAAGGGGGGAGTCTGCAGAGCCAGTTAGGTATTTCTGAGGGCTGTGTAGAACCCAAGATAACAACTTGTTCTTATTTACAACAAAGACTCACATGCTACTCTTGTGCCCACAGCTCTGTACCCATAGGGTGAGCTGAACAGAAATGTCATGATCACCCAACCACTGTCTTTCTGCCAATGTGATAACCTGGCCAGTCTGCATGGTGGAGGAAGAATGTGGTTAGAGCCTATTTCTCCAACATCTTCTCTCCCTGAAGTTATGATCTCTCCACACAATTACTCATCCTTCCCCCCTTTGCAAGGCACAAAGGTAGCAATGGCCTTGCTGGGTGATTCACAGGCATGGCACTAGCCTTTAGTGTTCTTAACCTCTGCACATTGCTTGGCAAATATACCCTTTATGGAACCCTACCATCTCATTAGATTTCTTTCATGGCAGCATCTTGATTAGCAATGCCCACCCTCTAGATCCTATTTTTCTCTTTTTCTGAAACACAGACATATGGCAATGCTTACTGTGTTTTGGCTAAGAGCTGAGTTCCACTTCATGGCAGCATGTTGTTGGCTGGAGCTCTCAGCAGAGAAAGTGTTCTGCTAAGATGACACACCTATGAGGCATCCCCCCTTCTCTGCTGAGACAGGTTACCTAGGAGTCCCTCCGGCAGCCAGGCCTCTGGAAGTGGAGGTTCTACACGGGAAGGGTTGGCCAAATGCCAAGTCTGAATCAGAAGCCTTGTGTTCCACTTCTACTGGGGCAGCAGGGACCACTGCTGGCGACACATCCTTAGTGCATGCTGGCAATGAAGCCCCCTGGGAGATGCTTGTGAAGAACATATTCTTTCACATGTTTATCTGAGAAGCCCTTTGGTTTTCAATTTTGCAGTTATTTATAATGCGAGCAATGATTTGATTTTCAATTTTGTAGCTGTTTACAATGCAAGTGATGATGCTGAAAAGGCATTGCCTTGTCTCAGGAAGAACATACATCTGTCCAGACATTTGCTTTGAGTCAATTGTTAAACTAATTAAAAAGTCAAAGAGGACACATCTGGCTTCCTCCCTGTCTTCCTCACTGGCATCATAGGGTCATAAGGTAATTCTAGACACAAAGAGGCTCAAGTCACTTCTGTGTTTCTTCCACTGGGAGGCCAGAAAGACTGGAAGAGTTGTGAAGAGTGACACATCTCTGTCTAGGCCACTAGTGTTGTGAACTTCGTGAATGGGAAGTTCTGAGTACAGGACTTGCCCATGTGCATAGGAAGTGGCAGGGCCTCCCGTTTCTCTTCTAATTCAATCATATTGCCTATCCTTCTTCAGTGTCCATGGGCATGAGGGATGGGAAAGAGCAAGGCCAAGTAGAATGGTGCTTATATCCAGGGAAAATCTGGGATTCAAGAAGAAGGGAAAGCCAGTGCCGGGAGACAGAGTACAACAATCTTTAGAGCACAGTTGGTACAAACGGAGAGTTCTGATGGCAAATCCCAAGAACCCCGATCTTGCTCCTGCTCACTGGGGAAAGAGGCAGTCAGGCTGCTGCACAGGGGTGGGGTGAATGAGTAGGGGTGAGTGCTGAGGAAGAGGAGCCTGCAGTAGCAGACACTCACCTGCCTGCTCCAGAGCTACCATGGTGGCCTGCTCGATCAAGTCCCGTTCAATGAAGCTCCTGAAGTCCTCACTGTACACGCTCAGGTCCGGCAGCTGGAATGTATAGATGGGCATCTCCAGTGGGAACTGCTCATTGTTGCATTCATTTGCCACGTGGGATCGGGCTAGGGAGACGATGGCTGAGCTGGCATGGGAAATTCCCCGGGAAAGGCGTTTCTCTGCTGATGAGAAGAAAGGATAACCACAGGGACCATGTCACTGTCAGTGTGGCTCTGAGAGTGCATGCAGCCATGCTTAAACACTCACACACAGCACACATACCACATACATGCAAACACATATAAGTACACACATAAACACATACCTATATACTATGAACATGTAACACACATATCCACATTCACATACATACATATAATACACTGTACACATTATAAATGCACATACATACAAACATACCCATACAGATAGTTGCAAATATATGTACATATTGTACAATACACTAATTCGTGCACACAGTATACAGAACTATCAATAAGTATGTCTACACTACATACACATGACACTTATTATTTTTAATATTTAAATTAGATTTATTCATTTTACTTTTTGTGTGTTTTCTTTGAATATATATATATATATATATATATATATATATATATATATATATGTGTGTGTGTGTGTGTACTACATGTATATCTGGTGACTGGGGAAGCCAGAAGAGTGCACTGGATCCCCTGGAACTGGAATATGGTTGGTTGTAAACTGTCGCATGTGTGCTGAGAATCAAGCCTGGAGCCTCTATGGGAGCAACAAGTGCTCTTAATGGCTGAGCCTTCTCTACAGCCCCAACATGACACTTTTAGACAACACATTTTTTACATACACATATACACAGGCACACACCATATAGTTTACATATACATGCATACATGTACACACACATACCCAGGTATAAAAATGTACTAGACACTACAAATATGAACACATATATCCCCAAACATATGTAATATATATCACACATGTAATATATATCATGGACATGTAATATACACATGAACATGGAAGTATATGCATACAATACATATGTAATAGAATATTTACACAGCAAGTATGTGACACATAGGACATACTACACACACACATGTACAGCTATGTGTCCCCTGTACCATACACATATAGGAACACATATGTGCACCACACTCATGCACACACTCATATCCTTCCCACATTAGTCTTTCTGTCTTCCAAGCCTCTTCTACCTTGCAGGCCTGCCTGCTGCTGGAATAAACCTGGTGTGTGGCCCTGCCTCAGAACACCGAGATCAGTGCTGCCAGCCTACTGACAGGAGCAGCAGGGCTTGCTTTGGGCTATTGGGCTCCATTTAACTCCACTCCCGAGAGACTTCCTCTCCCAGCAGTGATTGGGACCTGGGAGGCCATCTTTGTTTTCACAAATTTAAAGCAAGAAGCATCCTGCTCAGGCTGCTCTGCAGTGATTGAGGCTTTCCAGACATGGGCTACTTTATTCTTGCTTCTCCAATGAACATTTCCCATGTGGGCATCCTGGGGACACACGGATGGAGACGGTGCATGTTTCCTGGCTACCTGCATGTTCTTTTGTCCTAGCACTCTCTGGTACTGTGGCCTCCTCTATTTTATTCTTTGTGGGCTTTCTGCCCAAAGGCTGAGAAACACATTGGAAGACGCCTCTAAGGTATGGTCTGTTATCCTGTTAGAACTTGGGTGATCTGAAGCAAATGTATTGTTCTCTTGCTGCAGTGAAACATACTGTAAAAAAGAACCTAGTGCTTGATTTGTAACATAACACACACTAGAAGTCTATTTTGTATAGAGCCAAGGCTGGCCTTGAATTCGATATCCTCCTGTCTCAGCCTCCATGATTACATGTGTGCCCTGTCCCTAAACAATTCTGGAGCATATGACACAGGAATAGCACCTATAGACTCAGTGTTTGTGGCATGGGACTTCTCACAGTGGAAGTCCTCTTATTCAGCTCAGGGAAGGAGGGCCCTTGGTGACTGATTGCAACTATGGTCAAAACCCTGCGGCAAACTCCTGAGTATATGCATATGAGTTGCTCACCTCCTTTCAGGCAAGCATCCCTGGTGCACGGGAAACTGAAGCCACTGCCTTCCTCAGAGCAAGACGTTCAACACAGCCTCATATGTATGTCAGTGGCCAGAAATGACATTAATGCAATTGTGTCAAAGCAAATTGGCAAGCAGCGGTTTGCCTTGACAACCTCATACATTTTCCCCATTCAAATGGACAGAAAGTATAGAGATTGCATATTTCAGAATGAAAGGCTTCTATTCACTTCAATTTCATTCTGAGGCAATAGGATTAGGTTATCTTATACCTTGAGGAAACAACAACAACAAAAAAAAATGAGAAAAGAAATGAAACCACAGAGGCCATCGGAATGAGAAATAAGAGAGATGGAATGGGAGGTCTGGGTTGTCTGTCACTGGGAGATGCCCCCATTGCTCCCTGCACCCAACTCAAATCCTCGAGAGCATTAGTCAAGTGCTCCAATCCCAGCAGGCACTGCCTCCCTCCTCTCCTTTCTCCAACAGGCCAATAGCTGGACAATGGCCACAATAGGTTTAGCCCTTATAAACAAGCAATATCTGTAACAGTGGTTCTGGAAGTTTCCCCGAGGAGATACCAACTGTAGGGAAGGGGAAGTTCCCTTAAGCCTAAGGTAAAATGTAAAGCCCAGTAATTCTAACACTGGATATATAGCCAAAGGGGAGAAAATCATTGTGAGCTATCTGCTCTCCCACATGCTCTACAGAGTTAGTCACACAGCAAAGAAACAGAAGCAACACAGGTCTCTATCAGCAGAATGGAAAAAGTGATCACATACATAGAAGGGAATACCATTTATTAATGAAAACAGTGAGATTGTGTCATTTATGACAACACGGATGAACCTAAGGAACCTACCCTAAGTGAAAAAAGCCAGGCGGATCCCACAGATGTAGCTCACGCGCAGAAGCAAAATAAAGTGATTATGCAGAGTTACAGTGGGGTAGTGGTGAGCAAAGGGTGGGTGTGGGGAGAGGAAACTGAGGTTGGTGATCGGCTACAAGACTGCAGTCAGTAAGAATCTAAGCAATAGTCGAGAGGCTACCTTAAATGCCCTTCCCCTGTAATGAGACTGATGACTCCCTTAAATTCCCTTCCCCTGTAATGAGATTGATGACTACCTCATATGCCATCCTAGAGCCCTCATCCAGTAGCTGATGGAAGCAGAAGCTGACATACACAGCCAAGCACTGAGCCCAACTCCTGGAATCCAGCAGTAGAGTGAGGAGTGATGAGCAAAGGGATCAAGACCAGGCTGGAGAAACCCATACAGAAGCTGACCTGAACAAGTGGAAGTCCACAGACCCCAGTCTGACAGCAGGGGAGCCAGCATAAGATTGAACCAGGCCCCCTAAACACGAGGGTCAGTTGGGGGGGGGCGCTGGGCAGTCTATGGGGCCTCTGGCAGTGGAACCATTTATCCCTAGTGCACAAATGAGTTTTGAGAGCCCATTCCCTATGGAGGGATACTCTCTCCCTAGGATATACTCTAGATACACGGGGGAGGGCCTAGGTCCTGCCCCAAATGATGTGTCAGACTTTAATTATCCCTCATGGGAGGCCTCACCCCACCCCCCAGGGAGTGGATGGGGAGTGGGATGGTGGGGTTGGTGGGGGACATGGGAGGACGGGAGAGAGAGGGAATGGGGATTAGTATGTAAAATAAGATTGTTTTTTAACTTAAATAAAAATTATTTTTTAAATTAATTTTTTAAAAAAGATTGCAGTTGGATACAGGAAATAAATCCTAATGTTTCATAGCATGGAGTGACCACTGTTCAGAATTTACTGCATTTTTCCAAGTTGCCTGAAAAACATGTTTTGAATGTCTTCAGCAGGGACGATGATAACTGGGATGACAGATGGGCTAGCCCTCAGAGGGCTATTACACATTGTTCATATATATTGAAATAGCCACAGCACCCTATGAATATGTACAACTATTACGTGTCAAACACAAAGACAAGAAAGTCAAGGCTGGTCACCTAAAGCCCTTTCATACTCAACCAGAGGACCAGCTAGAGCCACACTGCCTGCTTTTTGCGTAATATACTCTAGTCTGAGGTGCTGATAATCATAGCACTAGGTGCTCACAGGCACACTGAGGAGACATCTGAGGAAGGCAGGCACTTGTAAGAAAGTAGTCAGAGTGTTTACATTACAGGAACCAGACTGAATGGGCTGAATTTATAAATGCTCTCAGCAAACATGTTTGGAGAAATACTGAGGCTATTGTGAAATACTAATAATATTAAGAAATAATTTGGGATGAAAACACATGTTGACTCACAACAAAAGCACAGGAAAAAGAAGCAGGTGCGAATGCCAGGGCAAGCATGTCTCTTAGACGATGAGAAGAGGACAGCCGAGGATGCTTACAAAGAATTCAAGGAAATGAGTGAGAGCCGGGGAGCTTTGTTCCACTAACAAAATTCGAGAAGGTCGTGAAAACCTTTTCAGGCACTTAAGGTTTAAGAGATTCTCAGCAAAAATAAGATTTGAAGGCAGTATTTGAGGACACATTTTTTTTGAAAGAGGGAAATGGATGTAGCCACATGTCTCTTAATGAATAGATATCTTCTGAGAAATACGTCCCTGTGTGACTTCACACTGGCCTCACAGGGAATTGTGTGGTCCGGCCTATGCTTTTCATGTGGCCTCTTTATGCCACTGAGAGGCAAAGTAAATTCTGAGGCTGCAGCCAGCAGAACCTGGCAGACTCTTTCACAGTAAAGCGTTTTGTCAGAAAACCACACTAAAATAACAATGAAAAGCACAGTACAGAAAATATGTAAACACATGCTTGATGATGTTCATACTGACATTAATTATTTATTACCAGTTCTTTAATATACTAGATGATGTGAGGTCACACAACTGTAATTCTAGTATAGATGAGGCCCAAGTAACACACACACACACACACACACACACACACACACACACACACACACACCCCTACATTCAGTGCTGAGAGCAGGTATGCTTGTGTATTTTGTGTGTGTGTGTGTGTGTGTGTGTGTGTGTGTGTGTGTGTGTGTGTTTATGTAACAATAATAATTAAAGGAAAAGAGGGAATGAGGAGAGGAATGGGAGGGGTTAGAATGAGGAGGGAAATGATATCATTATATTTTAATTAAAATTGCAAATAGCCAGAAATAATTATATCTAAATGTAAACAAGATATCAAATGCTCTTAGATGATATGATTTCTCCGAGGCAATAACCCAGGGTCATTTTCTCAGAACTATTACTGTTAAAAAGATACCATGTTTATGTGGCTGCCTAGATGACAGGTAAGTACAGGATGGCTTGCTTTCTCCTGTGTCTAGTCTTAGCAGAATCTGAATATGTGGACAGGTGTACACAACACTATTGGATACAAGAAACATGCCATTTAAAGATTAAATGGGACCCATTCAATCACAATTGTAATAAGGCTTACATGGAAGCATAAACACACAAAGTAGTGAAAACCTTTGGAAAGGCAGTAAGGGAGTTTGCCTAGGAGGGTAACATATAGGAAGCTGACAGAGTCAACAGTAACAGTTAGACAGCAGCATGCTAGACACACAGGGACCACAAACAGATTCTGAGATAGCAGGGACTTTACAGTATGGTCCAGTTGGCATTTAGTCCAGAGGGGAATAGCAATCTGATCAGTATGTGGGGAGGAAGTGCTGTATTCAGAAGACAGCAGCCTAGAGCTTTTGCTATTGTTTATAAGGTTTTCAAATTGATGGAAACACCTGAAGACTAAACTGACAAACAATAAGTAAAAGGAATTATTAACCATGTATTTTATTTTTCAAATCCAGAGAAGAGCCGATAGGCTGGGGTATTAATACTGTAAACATTTCTGTATGGCAAAGTCCTTTGAACACAAAGTTGTAAGGCAGAATGACACAGTGGGATTAACACCTGGGCATGGGTAGAAACGTGTGCCTATCCTACAGGCTGATAAAGGAAAGCACTTTGATTGGTGGGAAGATGAACCACACGAAGAGACAGGCATGTAGCAGAGGAGAAGGACAACTAACAAGCAAACCGCGAGGTGAAAGTTAAAACAAGATTGCAGTTTTCACCCTTTAAAACACCACCAAGGCAAAGCCATAGCAAGGACACACAGTGCTGGCAGGAGCAGAGCAAAGCACTGGGCGTGCAGTCAGTGAGCAGAGACGTGAGCAGGAAGCCGATTACAGGAAGCACAGCGCTAGCCTATAGGGAGGGAAGCACTGGTATGGGCTTTATAGGACTGAGTGTCTCTTTACAGATTTACTTGGAGTAAATCAGATCCCCTGGAGTTAGAGACAGTTGTCAGCTGCCAGGTGGGTGCTGGGAATTGAACTCAGGTCCTCTGGAAGAGTAGCCAGTGCTCTTATTCAGGGAGCCTCTCAGACCCACATCACAACATTTATTATATGTGTGTGTGGGGGGTGGGATGGGGGTGGCAAAGACAAACAAATGGCAACACAAATCCAAGAAAACCCAGAAGTGTCTAAATATACCATGTAACAAAATGTAGAAACCAAGAGAATGAACTAGTGCTTACTGCTCAGCAAAGTAAGCAGTTTGTAAGCCACATGTCTTTGCATCTTGAACAAGCTTAGCAGGAGAAGGAGGTAGATGTGGCTATCAGTGGAAATTAAGTCAGTGAAGCTGGGAGGTGGGACAAAAACCTTTCAACTTTCCTTTTTATAATCACTGTTACACGTCTGTCTTAGTCTGAAGACAAAAAAAAGAACAGTAAAGAAGAAGAAACACATGGAATGATGAACAGCTATTGAGTGACTTGGAGACTAAGCTGCCAGAAGTAATGGGAGGACCAGTCAGGCAAAGTAGGACTCCCCAGCAGTCGGCCTGGCTCTCAAGGCTTCAGGCACACTCTTGGGCTTTCTAGGGAGATGTGGAGCCGCAGATTCATGTTGCATTTTAGCCTACTGTGAGGAGATGGACATTGAGAGTTCATTTGGCTCAGCTTGGTGATGTTGAGCACACTGTTCCCTACACCTGAAGGCCCCTCAGCTGGTACCTTGGGCAATTTCGTCCTGCCTCTGCAGGCAGGGCCGCTCCACCTTGTGCCCAGGCTGGGGCAATTCTCGCTCAGGCTGCTTGGCGCACCTCCCTTCGTTGAACACATGTGGCAGGTTGGCTGTGTGCACCTGTCGGAGTTGCTCATAGTCGCTTAGAGCAGCTGTCAGGTCCCAGTTTTTGCCTGTGGATAGAAATGACAAGAGACTGTAACAGAAATGGAGGAATCCTGGCTTTCCCGGAGAAAAGGATGCTGCTGGGCAGTTTCTGGAAGTAACCTTTGACACCCATAATGGATGGCCAGAAATACGAGATACAGCGCCTCTCATTAACAGACACATACACCCTGTGGACATCATGCCTCTAACGACCATCAAAGTGCAGCACTAAGTGAGGGCTGTGCCAGGGGAGGAAATCCAGGCCACACAGCACTGGTTTTGGGTACTTAAAACACCTGGGAAGCCTTTCAAGTCAGGTTTCAGGAACATGCTAACATAGCTGAACTTCTGAGGCTGTTGGCACACAACTCAGGGACACGGTGACTTTGGAGACTGCCACTCTGGAATGAAACTCATCACCCTATGAAGGACTTACGAATTTCCTAAGATCTCACCCATGATATCTATCCTTCTGAGAGACTGAGCCCTATTCTTTCCCCCCCGATACTTTAACATAACTCCTGGGAAAAAAAGTGAAGTAAGGAACAGTCCTCTTCAGCTTACGCCACTACACAGCCACTTTCTGGTAAAACTTTTGCACATACTTACAAGGCTGCCCGGCTACAGTGTCATTCAGATCACAGTCCATTAGGCCCTACGTGACTGTGACTGTGATTTCATCTTGGCCACAAAGAACAAAGCACAGAATGCACAGAATTTATTCAGCCTTACATAGTAAAAGCGGAAGTGCAGCTTGGGAGGTTTTCTCTTGTTGAGGTCTTCAGCTACAGTCCCACGAATGCTCCAGCTTGCTCAACCTGCACACAGAGATGTTGCACACCCCAGCCGGGCCACGCCTGGGTGCTAATACATCATTATGCTACTTAGAGTAGCAGGGGCACAGGCTTCAGTGACTGTGACAGAGAACATGCCATTCCATACACAGAACTTTGGATTCCTTCTCCGTACAACTGAGTTAGTAAAATCCCAACTCAGCTGGAACTGATACGAAGGTTAAAGAGACACAGAGATAGTGTTTTTAAGTACTCAACATATGGAAAACACCTAGTAAATGATGTTAATCCAGATAATGGCCATGTTAGTTGGTAAGAATAGTTAGCCCAAACCATCTAGGTGACTCAATAGAAAAGACAGTATGTTTGGTGAAACTTTGTGTAGATGAGAGGAGGGGATGCTGATGTTATGTGGACCCACTTTTTTGAATGTGGGTGTGGGTGGATGGTGTTCATGACAACAAATTCAGAAGAAACTATAGAGGACACAATCAGTGTAAAAATCCACTCATCTGACAAAACGGAGTTTTCCTCAGTACTTATCACCATTCAGTTAAGGGTTTTGCTCATGTCTGATTTATATTGCTTTCCACAAAATCACTTGGGGGAGGGAAGGAAAGAGAGGAGGGACAGAGTAGGCATACCACAGGAAATGAACTTAATTGTCTAGAGAAAAGAGAAAGAAGATAGAACAATAAAAGACTTAAAAGTAGCAGATTCAAATTTTTTAGATACTAGAAAAATATTTTAAGATAAAAAGCTAAAAGTATGCATATTTTAATGTAGAATACATGACACTACCAATTCTATCTCCTACAGCAACACTGGAGCAGACTTAACACAACATGTAAGGAAAGGGAATGAGTATTTGCTGTAGGAGACACACATGGAGGTGCAGGCCTGACATCCCAGCTGGTTGGCAGGCTGAGGCAGGAGGATTACACTTTTAAGGCCTGCCTGAGGTAAAGAGTGAGTTGAAGGTTAGTCTGGACAGCTCACTGAGACTATCTCAAAATAAACAATGGGGGAGGGGGAACTGGGCATATAGCTCAGGGATAGTACTAGGGCAGCATGCCAAAATCCCTAGGTTTAATATTCAGTATTACCAAAAGAAACAAACAATAAAAAATCCAAAACCACAAAAAACAAAAGAACTCCCCAAACAACAAATAGAAACAGACCAAAAAAAAAAAAAAAAAAAAAAAACAAAAAAAAAAACAAAAAACCCCCACAAAACAACAACTAAAACCCCCAAAGAACAAAACAAATAGAAACAAAACAAACAAATCCCACACCTAAAGCAGAGCTATTTCTAACAGCTACTAGGTGATGGCTACCAGATAACAAGACAATACCAATAGGATCCTGCTCTTGTAGCAACACAGAATTCAGGCCTACATCATTAAATAAGATGAAAAAAGCAACATGACTGGGCTTAAGGGCTCAGTTTAGAACTGAGATGCATTCAGCATGATGTATGGGCACCCTGAGGTTCTGCCTCCTGGAGATGTGAGGTTGCTCCTGCCCTCTGCAGGCCTCCACTTTATACCCTACCTCTCAGGCATGCTGGAACACCAACAACTCAGGATGGCTTCTCACCTGGGAGCTGACACTGCAGACTCGTCAACCCCAAACCTGCTTGTCTGCACTGTCCCCCTTCCCCCAGAAACCACAGGAAAGGCCCCTGTGCTCATTCCCTTCATCCCTACGCCTCCTGACTGGCATTTCCATGTGATAGACCACGTCTCCTGATACACAAGCAAACTTCCTACAATAGTCGTCTATGTTTGCACACCCAATTAAAGCAAATTCTAGACATAAATGAAAACTCGAGATATAAACAGCCACATATGGAATTTAAAGGTTAAAAGGCAGAAATTATTGCAAGACTCTGACATAAACACACTGACATTAGATTACTGAGAGAGGGCTATAAGAGGGCAGATCTACAGTCTGGGGATGGAACCCGGGGCCTCACACACCTACTAAGCAGGTGTTCTACCACTGAGCTACACCTCCATCCCACAGGGCAGATTCTAATATGGCAGCAACCACCCTCAAAATCACAGGCTGCTTGGACTCCTGCTTGTCATGAGTTGGGAGAGCAGCCACACTTCAGACTTCCCACCACTCTGGAATGTTCCTCCTTGACAACTGAAAAACTCTCTTAGGAATGCATTTCATTTCTGATTACCACCATGGTCAGAATTCCACCTTGGGGCTAGGGGCATACTCTTCTCCATCCTCACAGGGGTTGTAGGAAAGCAGGATACAGCCCATAATCAGCATTTCATGACTAATAAACTGGATAGAATGAGCAAGCTTGAATAAATAGCCTTCAGGCAAAAGGAAGTTAGAAAACAAAGTTATAGAACATTATTATATTTATACTGTACATTTATAATTTATAAATTATAACCCAAAGATAAAAATTCAGAGGACTATCCTTAAATGCAGAAAACATACTCTTACCTATCAATCTACCTCTCTAGGCTATTTATAGTACTCCTAAAGGGTGCCACAGTAGGTCTACACTTATTGTGTTCTTTGGAAGATTCGGCGTCATAATTTCTACCTAAGTTAGTTCATACAGTTACTATGACTCTCCAAAGCATAAGCAGAACCCTGTAAGTAGTAGCATTGCACGTATACCGAATAACATAAGGTTAACTAATTAACCTATCTATTTTTCAGTATTGGGGATTGAACCCAGGACCTTGCCCATGCTTAGCAATCCCCACTACTGAGCTACATCCTTGCCAGATAAGCTGATCTTAGTCACATTTATCTGGAGAAATAAACAACAACAGCCAGGTTTGAAAAAAGAGGAGGGAGGGCACTCAGACACTAAAGCCCCTTCTGCCATCTTGGATGTTACACCATAAACACAAGATAGCAACAAATCCTCAGAAAGCCTCAGGGTCTCAAAGGAATTTAGAAGCCTATCTGGGATATGCTTGCAACTCATTTCACACACGAGAGGCGCTTATTTCTGAAGTAACTCAGTTTCCAAAAAAAAAAAAAAAAAAAGAAGTCTAAGGAAAAAAAAGTGCAGGCAGAAAGTTTGCAGTGTGAAGGCACACAGGGCACACAGGGCACTGGCTGAACTGAAGGCAGCAGATCAGGGAAAGCTGTTCACATAGCCACTAGGCATCAGGAGTTGGGGCTCCACACACAGATATGCGGGGTCTTAAGATAGTGTTGTGTTCAGGGAGAATCTTAGATGATTTCCTTTGTCTGGGGACAGAGCCTAAAGAAGATCCATTAGTGGAACAGTATGATCAATATAATATGACAAAGAATTTAACACCCCCAAGAGATACAAAGGCAAAAGACAGGACTTTGAGCCTTTCCATTTACAAGAGATGTAAAATGTAAATAATCAAGGAACCGTTTTACACATCAAAGAATGACAAAAGTACAAATGTTAGCTTCGTGTCGTCCAGCCACTGGGTTCCTGACTGTGGGCAAGCATGTTTGCTCACCTACTTGTGGAGGAAGTCCAACTTCCAAGATTGGGACTTTCATAGCATTCATTGAAAACATAGATGCCTTTATCCTGTTACCCAATACGTCCTCTTCTGGGAATTCATCCTAGAGAAATACCTGTGCACATGAAACATGTTGTGTGCAACAGTGGCAAGCAAGACAAGTGTCCATCCATAGAAAGAGGGTTTACGTGCCTCACCACCAAACACAATGCTATGGTGTGGTGTTGATTCTGCATCCTGGGTATTTATTTGCCACAATCCTTTGGCTTACCTCTTTGCCACTCACAGCTGTTTTCCTCTTCTGGCCTCTTCTGACCAAAGGCCTTCAGCTCAGATATACTCACCTCCCAATTGCCCCCGCCCCCAGCTACTTTCAAAAATGTCATCTATGTACTGACATCCCTGGCCATCCTCTCCCCGTCCCACCGCCCCCTCCTGGGGGATCTACTCTTGGGCTTCACAGTTCTCAGAAAAGGCTCTACAACAGAGCTGTTTAGATTCTTGACTCTCGTGACTCATTTCTTACTCTGTGGCTTATCAGTTGTCCAAAAGCATCCCAGGCCTAGCTCAGACAGTGCTAGGCTGGAGCTTCCTCCACACACTGGCTGTGCTTACTTCCCACTGTGTGAGAGTAAAGGGCTGTGAGTACCTTTTAGAGAAGGTGGCATATGATTTTCTCCCCTTCACATGCTGTAGGCCCTGCAGCCTGATATCCATGGCAGCCAATTGGCCTTGTAGGAC